GGTCCTCGTCAGCAGCGTCATTTCCAGTTGAACCAGATTTCTACCTGGCCGTTGTTTTTATGTGAAGTTTTCTAAATCATCTTTACTTTAATAACTTTTGAAAATATTCTTTTTTTTTTGCTTACTTTATTCTTTATCTTTACTTCGTCACTCATCCGTGGGAAGATAACTTAAAAATATCGCTTCTGATATTTCTTGTAGCGTTTTTGAAACGAAAAATTTATATTAATATTTTCCTGAATTTTGTATAATAAATAGATATTATTATAATAAATAGAATAATAATAAAGAGATATAAACAATTTGGGGTTGCAAGAATGAAGAATAAAGACTCCTTGGAACGACACTATTTCCAATTGAGCATGACACTTAACACAGTCCCTTATATGTTCAATCCTTTTTCTTTCACTAATTTGATGTTGTGACATGCGAAATTATTTTGATGGTATTATACTCGATATTGTAAGGAAAGCTGGTTGAATGTTGCAGAAGTTCAATTTTTTGTTCACGTTGTAATATTTGTTAACATATCTTTTTGAACAAGAAATTCTTAAAGTGCTACAATGACTCTTTACGCCTTTTTATAATTCTTTGAAATCCAAAATATTTGAGCAACATTTTTGAAAATAGCTGCGATCGGATAACAAGAATTAAAATAATTGCGGTGGCGTATCGCCCGTTTGCTCTACAGTGCTCTACAGAAACAAAATTCGTGAAAAATATTTCTTCACAATTAATGCATTCACTAAATTATCATCGACATACTAAATAAAATGTATTCGTGTTCATTTCTCGTGGATTCAAGCGATATACGTCTATAATAGAAGACGTTTATAAATATGTTTTTACATAATTTGATATGTAACTTGTATGTTATATAAAGCGCATTATGGATAGTGTTTGTGGTTATCTAATTCTCTCTTCAGTTTTAAGCATGCGTGATCTCTTGTTGCAGGAGATAGGCTCCTGGACATCCCGTGCAAGGTGTGCGGTGACCGTAGCTCCGGCAAGCACTACGGCATCTACAGTTGCGACGGTAAGTGTTGCCCCAAAAATATAAGAGTACATAAATGATATTTAAAACCAACGTACATGACATAGATACATAATAATCAAAGAGTAGTGCATAAATAATATTTAAAAAACAACAAGCTGTCACTTCAGGTTTTATATTGTAACTATTTCTAGTTTAAAATAAATTTCTCATTTTTACCATGAATTTAAAAGCCTGAAACACTGAAGGTCATAATTTGATTTTTAATTTCTGAATGCTTACACTAAATAATAAAAACTCTAAACATGCAAAGGAAAATAAATATTGCTACGTCTGAAATTTGTGCACATGTATACTGAGCACAAGTGCACCTCATACCATTCAATATTCGAGTAGTTTAGCTTAAAGAAGGAAATTGTACTATGGTTGTACTCAACTGTTATCAATCTATAAATATAAATATTTAATAATAATAATAGTAATAATAATAATAATAATGATATCAATAACAACAAAATTGGATTTTATGTCCATATCAAATATACTGTAATTTAGAAAAACTACTTCATCGACGTAACGTTCCCTTTCACCTTCTTGGCAATGGAAATGACACTGAAATCAGGTAGAAACAAATACGACGGGTCAACTTGTTGTTTATGAAATATTTTCGGAAATAAAAAAAATTCCATTGTATGTTTAGATTTGTTACAATTTCTCATAAAAGCTTACAAGTTTGGAATTGACATACTGTTTATTTCCTACAATGTTTGAGGCGTTCAAAAGTACGGTTACAACATTGGAATTTCTATAATTTGAAACCTTTAGTTCTCACTAAACAACTAAAGTTATCAAAAAAATGTATAGATTTGAATTCAGCACTTTGAAATGAAGGTTAAAATTCACTCTTCAGAAAGAAATGTTATCACCGGTCGCCTGCAGCCCCTGAAGAATCCAGAAGCCGATTTCCATTACGGTTGCGTTTTGCGCAGGCTGCTCGGGCTTCTTCAAGCGCAGCATCCACCGCAACCGCGTGTACACGTGCAAGGCGGCGGGCGACCTCAAGGGCCGTTGTCCCATCGACAAGACCCACCGCAACCAGTGCCGCGCCTGCCGCCTCAGCAAGTGCTTCCAGGCGGCCATGAACAAGGACGGTGAGTGTGCGTATGGTGCCATTTCCCTGCAACACGCACCACTCGTGATGTCCATTGGCACTACTTCCACTATTTTACATGCTTTAGAAGTTTGTAAGACATATTATGGATTTGTGTCTGCCTTTACTGCGACACCAGACATAAGTTTTTGAAGAGAGAGAAAAGATGCAATTTATTTTTTCTTCACGATCTAAAATTTACCTATTATCACGTTAGAGTGCATTCCAATCTAAATTATTTCAGCGCATTTTAGGGTTGCAAATAATGTCAAAAACAGCGGAGCTAATCGCCACCATTTTTTATATTTTACAAATATATAACTGCACAAATAATGTCGATGCACAGCCAGTGTACACAAATACATTACGCAGCCAAACATAAATAGAAAAATAGTTTAAATTTCTTGCAGAAAGGCAAGGATTTTCTTTTTTAAATTGACTCTCATCTTTGGTGTCTGCAGCTTGCTGCCACTTTCGTTCTTAATCGATTCCATAGGCGCCGTATCAATATACTAGTTTGATAACTACCCAATATATCATAAATTTTATTCTTGATCAATTTAAATTTTATCCCTCTCGAGGTTCACCTTCCAAATTTGGCTTATATTCCTTATAGTTCTCCCATTATTCATAAACTCGCCTTAAATCGGGAAACATCTTCATATGTAACTGCAATAGCCGTAGCAGTTTTAAATGCTCTTGTGAGGATACGAACATCTTTATATAATAATCGAGTAACCTGCTTCCGTCCGCCTCTCCAGCCCTCCGTCCTTGGGTCCCTCTGACCGACCGCCTGACCGTCAGTCTGTCAGTCACTCACGGTTAGACACCTTCTGGTCCATAATTCGAGACAAATGTGGTGTCATTCGACGCGTTTCAATCTCTTAGTAGAGAATTGAAAATTCTTTTGCAAATCCATCTAGAATATTCTCTAAATGACCCAGAAATTTCTCTAAAAAATTGATTTTTGTTCGTTAAGCAACTAAAAAGTTTTCCTTTTAATATAAATACGCGTAGCATAAAACAAATTGTGAACATGAAAACATCTGCCGCCGGAGGCGTCAAGCTGAACTATAGCTAGAATATTATGAACTATATTTCATAATATTATGGACATGATTTGTAAGATGTTTACAGATCTGCACCGACATTTTTAGATTTTCTCAACATTCAAAATATGTTTAATAAAAAATATGTTTCTATGTTCCAAACTCATTGTTTCATTGCACTTATGTTTTAAAGTTTATTAAAAAATCATACAAATATCATTAAAAAAGTGTTTTATTTCAGAAGTAGAGTTTCTAAAAGAGGATAGATATGATTTATATCCGCCAAGGAAAGCATAATTCACTCTTTTCTGAATATATTTCGTTGATAAGTTCTGTTATCATATACAATTTTTATTCTGACGAACATTGTTGAGTCGCTTTCAGAAAATATTTACTAAATGTAGAAAACTGTTTTAAAAAATATGAACTTTATTAATTTTTCATGCCTGAATCAATGCAAACTAGAAACGTCACTTGAACTAAATGTGCTCCCGACGAGAACACGTCATCTTTTCACGGTGTAGTTGCTTGGAGGAAATTGAATATATACCTTACTATTCAAACATCATAAATGTGTATTTTTACACTGCTTAAAATTTCTCTAGATAGAACTGTAAAAAGGGGGTAAAGAAATTCCTTGTATTTCATACAAGTGACGTCACTAAAATACTATTAATTTATTTTTTGGCTCTGAAGTTCAACAGTGTGATCATATTGTTAAGAAAATAAACTTATGTACTTACTTTATGATTTTTTTAGAGTGAAGTTTGTCCAATAGATTTACAAATAAGTTTACAATAAACACTATTGGTTTGCATAGACATTTGAAAGTGTGTGTTAAGATTTTAACATACATAATTGAGCTTCACGCATACACAGAACTAATTCAAATTAGTATACATGTCAGTTTAAAAAATGTTAATTTAAAATTCATATAAGCTAAATATATAAAATTTCTTAAATTTCAATACAGCTTTAATGCAACACTTCGTTCTCTTTCTAGCACGACATTAAAAGTATGCTGCTTTCATGTGCTCCGAATACACTTCTCCCCATAGAACGTCATGTAGTCTTAAATTGTCTTTTTACGTTCAATAAAAAAATGTATTAAATGTTCAAATCTTTTTAGAATAATCTTGTTTCAATTCCCTTCTTTTATTAATATTAAGTTGTTGTCTAAAATATACCAAATTCTAACTAAGATATTCATTTTAAAACTGAAGCTCAGTTAGAAGCGAGAATATTTCTCAGTATCCCAATTACTGTATGTATAGTAGATTTATGACATGTACGCTTTTCTATGTAATTTCTTGATACTACCGAAACGCAAACATTTCCGCGCGTGTCGTTCTGTGCGCGAACACTTGTGTACTTGTTGCCCGGGCACGGCGCGCGGGGGCGGCGGCACGAGGGCCGGCGAGGGCGGCGTTGAAGCGCGAGGTCTGGCCCGCCCGGCGCGCCGCCGCCCAACGCCCATTTCGCCCTAACGCGTTTCCGAACAATGGATTTACCGCCTGCGGTCCGCCCCCGCCCCATTCCCCT